TCATAGGTGTTTGTGATTTTGTTTTTTTTTCTCTCTCTAAAAACCAAGGAAATGCACAGGGATCGTCTTCGTGTGGTTCCAGGCACTCTTCACCCCATAGCAGAGGCATGCTCAGCTCACCAGTGGACCCAAGGAATTTCTGCATGCTAAAATTTCAGTGGACAGCAGCTGCCAGCAGCGCTGCTGCTCAGCATTGCTTTCTCATTTCATTTTCCAGGCCTTTGAACTGCAAAGGGAAGCAGTTTTTGCTCTGACCTGCAGGGACTTTTCCTCCAGGCAGCTCTGTGCTCCTGGAAAACATGCTCTGGGGGCTCTGCAAGTTGTTGTAGACCAGGCAGTCAGTTGTAAAGCTAACTGAGAATGACTTACCATAAAGAAAAGGTCTATTTTGGAAACATCCAGTCTAGCATGGCTCGTGTGGTGTTGGTGACTAAGTATTTATTTCTTCCTGTACATCAGGAACCTCTTGCTTTTCTTGGCTGTAATTTTTATTGTTTTGTTGTTGTTTTTTTTTTAATTCCTCTTTTTTGTGCCCATTTTTGTGTCCTCTGCAGCCATGAGTTTGACTCCGAGCAGATTCCTGACCTAACCAAGGACAATTATATCCATGACATTCACAGCGTGAGCTCCCTCTGCAAAATGTACTTCAGGGAGCTCCCGAACCCTCTGCTGACCTACCAACTCTACGAGAAGTTCTCAGTAAGTACAAGGCAATGTCTTTCATTTAGCTCTCCCAGGGCCTCGTGGTGTGACCTGTCACATACACACACATCTACTCACCTTTTTTGGTCTAAATTCAGTTTAAGTTTGGGTTATTATAGAGATCTAGAGGATGTAATGTGTAAAACAAGCAGCTCATGCTTCCCACGCACCAGGTGCCCACCTGCTGTTAGCATCCTGCCACTAAAACAGTGAGAAATGAGCATAGTGGTGCCTGAGGCCTGAGACCCTTATTCTGTTGCCCCTTGAGGTTTACTCACATGTCACTGCCATGTCCTGCATCACGCTGATGCCACATTTGGAGAATTCCTGCTTTTTTTTTCTATGCCCCAACTATTCATAGAACAGGAATGGTACTTGGAGATGGATGCCCACTGCAGGGAGCTGAGCTGCACAGTCAGGCTGTAAACCAGCCCAGTGCTTGTGTTCCTCATCCTTTTATCACATCAGCTGCATACACCTCTATCTCCCCAAGATGCCTCTTGGAAGGCAGAGGGGCTCAAAAAATCTGCCTCAGTGCTAACGAGCAGCACGTTGCCCCCATATTTCCAGATCCTGCAGCTGCTATTTGTGTCTAAATCCCTTTCTGCATTATTCCAGGATGCTGTTTCTGCTGCTACAGACGAGGAGCGGTTGGTGAGAATCCACGATGTCATCCAGCAGCTGCCCCCACCTCACTACAGGTCAGTGCTGCCCTCGCTCTGCACTGCTGCATTTCAGAGCAGCAAATGATGCCGTTCCGGGTTTTGTCTCATGCTGGCTACGTTATGCCTGTGTACCTTAAAGGGGCTCGTGGAGATGCTTTGTAGTTTATTTAGATCATTACTAACCCACCATTATATACTTTGCAAAGTCTTATTTTACTTCCTCTGAAGTCCATACAGGAGGGACATCCATGCTGAGGAGGTCAGAAATGGCTGATGCCATTGAGGAGGGCCCATTTTTGGGTCAGTCCCTCAACATGGGGATGCAGCTGGTGGCTGCAGTGGTGCTGCAGTCTGGCACTTAGTATCTGCTTAATATTTAATGCCAGTAGCAATAATAATAATCAACAAATGCTAACACTGACTTAATAACTATTGATAGTGTTTATTGTTTAAATGGCAATGAGCTTATTAGACTAGCATGCAGTAATTAATATTGATAATATCAATATGTGCTAATTGATATTTGTGACTATTTGTGGTGTGTGATAATTTTGCTCTTACCATTGCAGTGTATACTAATAGGCAATTAGCCAGTATTAATAACTTCTGCACTGTACAAGAAATGTCCTTGTACTACAAAGTGTGGTAATTGGTATTAATAATAATTTGTCTTGACCATTTTTAATATATTGATTGGTATAAATAATATATGTTAATCTCAAAATATGATTAACTAACTAAATCTAATATATAACTAACTAGTGATAATATTTAGTGTTAACTAAATGTAATGTATGATGATTGGTATTAATAATTTACAGTAAGACATAATTAGCCTACCATAATTAATCTATCATAATGCATGGTCATCAATGTGACCAATCATAATATGATTATGTACATTAGAAATTATGCTTGCAGGTATTCAGATATTGATGAGTAGTGTATGGTAATTAGCTTGACTTATTACAGTGTGTGTTATTTGCTAATTAAACGTCATTGAATGATTTATGTGCTGTATGGGATTTAATACCAACTAAATGTGAGCTGTGGTGATGAAGGAGCATTCAGACAGGTGCTGAGCTGTGCTGTTTGCTGGGGGCACTATGTGAGATGCAGTGAGATGGGGCTGTGTGTGTTGGAAGGGATGGAGCCCCTCTCCCTCTGCCCAGATTTGCAGTGGCAGTGGTGGATAATGTAAAAAGCAGCTTTATTTTCATATGGACACAGGTAGGTGAAGTTTAACCTGGAATCTGCTGGGTCTCTCTCCTACATCTGTAAAAAAGCTGGAGGCACTCATTGCTTAAGTTGTATTCAGATACACTTTGCTGGCATCCTGGGCTGTTCGAAGCTCGGGCTCCCCTTACCAGGTTAATATTCAGTGTTCTTTCCTGTAACTCCTGTGGCTCTGGGCAGCCTGATCTGGTGTTTGGTGACCCTGCACACATGGCAGGGGGGTTGAAACTAGATGATCAGTGTGGTCCTTTTCAACCCAGGCCATTCTATGATTCTCTGAACTCTCAATAAACGTTGCAGAATGATCAAAATGCTTCATGAGTTGCATTTTAGTGTCATGGGGTGGTGATAATGCAGCAACATGATGAAGTTCCAGGGTGCTCTGCTGGTGGCATTTGGCTGATCCCCGTCCACCTCCTTGTCTGCTGGATCCAGTCCTGTGGCAGAAAGCAGCTTTTTCCTTTGCCCTGGATGACTCAGAAGAGACCCCCCCCCATGTAGCTGTTATGATAAGGACAACTTCACCATTCTTCTGAGGGTACACAGTGCAACTTTTGTTTTGATTGGTTACAGTAGGGGAAAAAAAAAGAAAAGAAAATGCAAACAATGAACTGAGGTTCGTTTTGTCAATTGCAGCATGGCACACTCATTGATGCTGAACATTTGTGCCTCTCTTGTTTTCCAGGACACTGGAATACCTAATGAGACACTTAGCTCGTTTAGCTGATTACTGCACCATCACAAATATGCACGCGAAGAACTTAGCCATTGTTTGGGCTCCAAACCTTTTAAGGTAAACTTGTTTTTTTTCCCATTTTAAGACTTATATCTGTTCTCCAGAAAAAGGAAACCACAACAATCTGACCCTTTTCTCCATCAAACGTGCTTTTCTCTTGTCACATGTTTGATAAGTTATACTCAGAGCAGGGGAAGAGCCTGGACTGTTCTCCCCCTGCCCCGCCAGCACAATTTCCAGATGATAATTTCCACTGTATGGAACTGGTTTGTCCTTGATCATCCAGGAAAACTCGTCCAGTGGCATCACTGATTTCCCACTGCAGAAATCTCCAGGCTTTCATCTGACAGCTTTTGGCTGCAAAAATTCAGACTTTGGAGTCATTTTTCCAAGATCATTTCCCTACAGTTTGTTTTCCATGTGCCTGACGGGGTGTTCTAAAATTAATGGTGTAATTTTAAAATTTGTGCTTTAAAAGAAAGAAAATCACCCCTGGCCTCTATTGCATTGATTTCTGCACTGCTTTGTAACCAGCCTGAGAAGTCTGAGTCATAGCTCCCCCTGTGAGCAGTTAATGAGGGAGAGCTATTTTCTCCTCTCTGGCAATTCACTCACAAGCACTCCTTTTAAAAGATCTCATTTGAGTTTGCTGTTATGAATACTGGGATTCTTGCTGAGCAGGACCAGCTGGAGACATTCCCTGCTGGAGGGAAAGCCATGTAGAAGCCCATGCTGGGCTTTGTGCAGTGCCACTGCATTAAACTACTGCCACTCATTGTTTCTGGAAGGAAGTTAAGGGTGAGCTCCTGCTTTATGTATGCAATACATTTACCTCCATCTGGACCTGCCACACTCTTCTTTTCCTTTTTGACCCAGTGTTTCTTTTGCCTTTTTCAGCCTAAACCTAAAATCTGGGTACGTCTTAGTTTCAGCTGGGATGGAATTGTTTTGTTTTTTTTTTTGCAGTGCCATGTTATGGTTCTAAGAGAAAACCAGCTCTGATAGCTGATGTTCATAGTTACTGCTAAGCAGTGCTGTGCAGAGCCAAGGCCATTCACAGCAGAGAACCCAGGGAGTCGGGGGGAGCAGGATGAGGACAGCTGAGTGAAACTGATAAAGGAATATTCCATCCCATATGGCAAGGAGGTTTTGAAGGGGGTGGGAGTTCATTCCTTCCACTGCTCAGAGGCTGGCTGGGCATTGCTGGGGGTGGTGAGCAGTACATAGTTGTAACTATTATTCTTTTCCTTTTCTCTATCTTAATAAATGGTTTTATCTCAATCACCAGTTCTACTTGTTTTTCCCCTGATTCTCTCTCCTGTCCCATTGGGAAGGCAGGAAGTGAGCAAACAACTGCATGGTGCTGAGCCACCTGCCAGGTTAACCACAGCAGGGTATAAATCACTGCAGTCAGTCCGATGTCTGTATAATGCTTTGATGAGATTTCATCTCTTGTCTATCCCTAATGTCTTGTCTGCCCGTGCAGTGAGGCATAACAGTTAACATGAGCCAAAGCCTTACCCAAGGGGTGCACACCTTCCCACTCTTCTGGCTGGATGCAGTGGTACTTAATCTGCCTTTTCTTCAGATCAAAGCAGATTGAGTCTGCCTGCTTCAGTGGAACAGCTGCCTTCATGGAGGTGCGGATCCAGTCAGTCGTTGTGGAATTCATCTTGAACCACACAGACGTCCTCTTCAGCTCCAAATTCAGCTCAGTCATACGAGATGGAGCAGGTGAGGATCTTCCTCCATTAACTTTACCTTGATCAAAAACAGTAGCAGACAATGGAAATCCTCCACAATATCTGAACTATGCTTTTACTAACAAGGAGACAACAGATTTCCAAGGTTGTATAAGAATATGGCAAACATGGCCACCATCATCATTCTGAAATAGCTCAGGATGCTGTACAACAACATACATGGGAATGTTTGGCTGCTGCCGTTAGATCCTAGCACTGAAAAGCCATACAGAATAACTTAAGTCTGTTCCCCATTGCCTCTCTTTTTAAAAACCACTACTCATGTTAGATGAGTAAACGTGAAGAGCACAAGCTGTTACTATTTCACAGTTTGTTGCATCTGCTTTGATAAGCTGACCTTCCAATGAATTTTGCACAGCCAATGCAGTTATTAACACCTGTGGAGTTTACAGAGCTGCTTTCCTAGAATATTTTTTGCCTCCCATTTTTATACAAGCATTACTCTACTTTGGACAGCACAGTTGCTGCAAGTCCAGCTTTTGTTCCTGCTGGAAAGCAGTTTTTGTGTCAGGACCAGAGGTTAGCTTGGCTGGGAAAGGACAGCCCACAGCAGGTGGAGCTCTGCCAGGGGAAGATCAACATGCAAAGAACCTGAGCCAAATGATCATCCAGGCTTTAGAGTGGAGCGTTTAAATTTGGCTAATTGTTTAATGACTCAGGCTCACACTGTCTGCTTTACCACAAAACTGGGGGGCAGAAGGGTCAGGATGTCTTGCACTGCATCAACTAAGCTCAGGAATACTGAGCTCTGGCAAAGCAGTCCTTCTCAGCACAGCATCCCAACCTGTACCAGGCTGATAGAAGCAAAAGCATTCCCCATCCTGCTTTAAGCCATCCCAAGTCAGTCTAGTTGCAAGACAGCTGGATGTCTGAATACCTGCTTGGTCCAAACTTCACCCTGAGTACACAGGTACAGCTAACAGACACCTGAGGCTGTGCACATGTTACCCAGGAGCTGTGATGTTAAAGGAATAAATAGTAGGAATGGATCCAACCAGGATGGTGATAGAAGGGGATGACAGACTTCCTTCCCACACCTCTTACTCACATGAGCATAACCACGTAAATGCTTGCTCTGTAAGCAATGGCAAACAAGGACAGCTCTTAGAGCAGACTCCTCGTGCTCCCTGCAGCACTGCTCTGCACTCTAAGGCTGAACAGCAGATAGTAGCAGCTGGCATTTATCTCCAAAAACAATCACAGGCTGTAAGCAGGACAAGAGAAAGACACAGCTAGATGCAGTTCTCTGTATCCACTTGCACACTGGTTTGTAGCAGCTTCAGTGTGTACAGCATTTCCTGTTGCCGTATCCTGAAAATGCTTAAACCTGAACTTTATAAGAACAAAACTCACTGTCATTATGATGTTTTGCATGGAGATGAAGCTTGATTAAAGTATGGCAGTGAAGATTTCTACCTCTTTGACCCAGTTTTCCAGGGTTTTTTTTTGTGTGTGTGTGTTCAATACAGTAAGCTGCTCTCAATTATGAGTTTGTCCTTCATCATAAACATCCCTGACAAAATGGTTGTTTTGACATCATCCTCCAGTGGTTAGGATAGCCAAGTCTTTGTAGAATATATCACCTCCCCCTGAAGTGTGATGGCTGTGCTGCTGCTTTCTGATCCTCCCTCTTATCTGTGTCTTTCCCTTACAGGACACAGTTCTTTATCACGACCCAAGTCTCTGTTGGTGTCTTCTCCCTCCACAAAGCTGCTCACGCTGGAGGAGGCACAGGCACGGACACAAGGCCAGATCAACTCCCCCATGGTGACAGACAATAGATACATTGAAGTGGGAGAAGGACCTGCAGCTTTACAAGGGAAATTCCACACGGTCATTGACTTTCCCTCAGAAAGGTAGAGAGGAGTTTCATTTCCAGCACATTGGTTTGAATGTGTTTGTTTTGTTTTGTATTATTACTACTGCAAAAACTTACTGAAACTAACTTACACTAATCATGCATAAAGCATTGTAGGCAATTTCCACCCACTCTGGACTCTTGAGGATTCAATGAACTAACACACAGTTGCCCAGTAGGCTCAGTTTAGCCACACAACAGTGCCATTCCTTCCTTTTTGAGCAGGCAGTCATAAGATGTATAAAGCCATCAGATTTCTATCCTTGCCTGTGCTAGTTGTACATGGAAACACTGGGGTTTTCCAGATCTCAGGACCCCATGCCTGAAACAAACTCTGGTTGTCTAAGCAGACCCATTGGACAGAATTGCTGGCACTGGAAATCAAACAGGGCAGTGGGAGGAGGCTGATGATTTGTTATCACAGCAGAAGCGGTGCTTCTGAATGCCCTGTAAGGCTGCATGGTTCCTCAGAAAGCAGTTATAAAATAAAAGCTGTTCCTTGCATGCTGTACTGTACAGCTGTGGAGCCTTTGCTCACCTGCACTGCATCTTGCTTTGCATAGATTGGAGGAATTCATGCCAGCTTCAGGGCTGAGCTGTAAGAATGGAAACATCTTTGAAAGAGACCAAGTTTCTGAGGTCTGTTTCAGCAGAGGCTGGGCAATGCTAGGAACAAGCCAATGGTCTCAAGAGCTCAGCACAGCTCTTCCCTCACCCTGCACCACAACTCACCCCATTCACTCTGTTTTCTCACTCCAGAAAAAGACCGCCCAGTAAGATGAAGAAATCGCCCGTTGGCAGCTGGCGTTCCTTCTTCAACCTGGGAAAGTCATCCTCTGTGTCCAAACGCAAACTGCAGCGCAACCCCAGCGAGCCCTCGGAGATGAAGGTCATAGCCCTGGCAGGTAAGGCTGCAAAGCCAGCTTTCAAAAAAAGAGCAGTGTAGGATTCATGCTTTCAGTGTGCTTGGATCTCCTTCTAGCGTTCAAGCCCGTGCATAGCATCTTTAGTTAACCCATCTTTTCCGAATGTGTTCACTCAGGATCCGGACCTCTTAGAGCACAGCCCTTCTGCCTTTCCTCCGAGTAGCTTTGGAAGGACAGTAAATGAGCACCTCTACAAAGCTCTCAATGTTTTCTTCCAACACTTGCTATGGAAGTAGGAATACACTTCTGGCACCGTTTTGCTTTTGTCAGAAGACACGCATCTAAACTACTTAAAAGCACTTTTCCACAAACATTCCCATAGAAAGAAGGCATCCAGCATCTTTCTGTAGCTACGTAGACTCTGACTTCTCAGCCCTTTCCATATATAATTTACTGTCTCTTTCCAAGTTTAAAAACAGCAACTGTGCATTTTTGCAGAAGAACATACCACAAATCCTGAAGTGTGGCCAGCGGGGAGTTGTGTCCCATCCTCACCCTGATGCCCTTTTAAATTATAACCTCTAGTTTTCAGCGTAACAAACACATTCCATGGCTGTACGTGAAGACAGTCTCCCTTGAGCATTTTAGTTGTGCTTGTTTAGTGCTCATAAAACCAGCTGTGCAAATGCTGCTTGCTTCCCCCCTGTGAGAGTGTTGCTGTCAGGAGTTACCCAGTTACCACGGGCACATCCAGAAGGACCTGCCTGGCACAGTGGGATGTGGAGCAGCTGTCTTCCAACCCATCATCTGCAGCAGTTAGTTGGCTTTTTGGTATCAAAAATTGATACTCTCTTGTAATCACTTCTCGTACTCACAGGTTGGAAGGGACCTCTGCCAGCCATCCAGGCCAACCTCCCCCACAAAAACATTGCATTCATCTTAGACTAAATCACATCAACACCGTGACAGGATAATGGTTTTCTTCAAGGGCTTTGGAGTGCAAACCAAACAGCAAACAATAAAAGCACAACTATTACTTTCAAGACAGTGGTACCGTTGCTAAAAGCCTTCCTGCCACCACTCCGTAACCAAATGTCAACCACTTCCATAATTCAGCTTGTCACTGTCTGATTTTATTTCCCCAGGGGGACGAGGAGACAGCGGGACTCTTCGCTCAGCTAAAAGTGAAGAATCACTTACCTCTCTGCACGCCGTTGATGGTAAGGCAAAATGTGGGTTTAAAAAAAAGGTAACATCACTGAGATTGCAGATAAGCAGCAGGGCAGATGCCTGCCACCCCTCAGTAAAAGCTGGACTTGTTAATGAAGCAGCTTATCCAGCCCTGTTGGGCAGTGGTATCAGAGCAGTGCTTTTCAGATCTTTGTTCTTCATCTGAGGGTTTTGTATACCTTTCATTCCTTGCCCTCTCCCCCTTTCTCTTCTAAATTGAAAAAGGTAGCATTGGAAGGAAAATGTTTCCTGAGAGAGGCAGAACCGCAGCACACTTCAACCCATTTCACTTATGCAAACAGCTCGGTTCCAGACTGAGACAGGGCTGATAACTGCTTTGAAAAGAGTTTGAGCAAACTTAATTAACAGCTATTGATAACTACACTGTTTTTCTGTTTAGAGCTCGCCAAGTGAGCATCTTGCATGCAATTGAGAAGCACCAAGCCATTGCCTCCTCAGACAGTGAAAGTTTGACACTTAACTCCTATGTATCTATTCATTCCTAGGTGAATCTAACCGGTTTCGACCCAGAAGACCCAGATCCAGTAGTGATGCACTGTCTGCTTCCTTCAATGGAGAGCTTTTAGGAAGCATGAATCGCTGCAATTCTTATGACAACCTTCCACATGACAACAGTGATGGGGATAAGGAGCTCATCCACGTTCCTGCCCTCATTTCTCCTCGCTCTGCCGAAGACGTTGACCTGAGCCCACCAGATATTGGTGTTGCTAGCCTGGATTTTGACCCAATGTCTTTTCAGTGCAGCCCACCCCAAACGGAGTCTGATTGCCCAGACAGCAGCACCTCCATGCTGGAGTCCCTCGGCATCAGTAAGGAGAAGCCGAGCCTCTTGAAGAAGGACTTAGAATCAGGCAGCCAGTCCCAGACACCGGGCAGCGCCACGAGCTCTGAGCCAGTCTCTCCATTCCAAGAGAAGATGAGTCCCTTCTTTACTCTAGACCTGAGCCCGACAGAAGAGAAGACCTTCAAACCCAGCGACACCTCGCCCCAGATGGGGAAAAAGCCCATCAAATCTCCACCGCT